AGATGTACAGTCTTACTTTGTACAGAGCTGGTCTGACTGGCTGTCTGCTGTCCAGCTCTTATTCTGGATCTTTCTCCACACTGGGGACAGGAGGAGTCCCCTGATGAAGCAGACTGGTCCCAGTATGAGGTGATGCACTGTCTGCAGAACCAGTGTCCACAGCTGGTAGAGACTGGATCCTTCAGGATGTCCTGACACATAACACAGCAGGACAGCTGCACCTCCACAGAAACATGACTCCTCTTCCTCTTTCTGTGAAGACATTTCTTTATTACTAAAATAATTTATTGATTGTTGATGAAAAATACTGAGATTGGTCCAACACTGTCTATATTTTATATATATATATATAACAGTGTTTTGCTAAAGAAATAAAATAAGACATATAACATTTTAGTTTAAAACAGTGTCTAATAGCACTAATAGTTCTGTATCATGAAAATAAATCTTCTTGCTCAATGAATCATCTTCCATTATGTCAGTTTACAGTAAAAACAGTCACTTACTTTGTGTCTGAGGGTCCAGGTTCATTACTGAAGTTTATAGGATCAACTTTAGACCGAACACTCTTCATAGACAGACAGCTAGACACTGGGGACTCTGCTCTCTGTCTGTTGTGCTGAACTCTACAAACACAAACATATTTTTAATTGTATCACATGAATCATTGATAAATTCTCTGACTTTTCTTAGATTAGATCGCAGATTTTCTGGTTGACTGACAGCCACAGTCACAAAGAGGAAGATGGAACGAAAGATTTATCTTTGTCAATGTCACAAAAAGTTTATAAAAGTTTGGTTTAAAATACATTGAGGGAGAAAATTGTACATACAAACACAAAATCAACCGAAAACATGACATCTGCAGAAGTAAAAAATGAGTCATCAATGAGTTAAAAGCAGTTCTCTTACTTTGTGTCTGAGGATCCAGGCTCATTACTGAAGTTTATAGGATCAACTTTAGACCGATCACTCTTCATAGACAGACAGCTGGACACTGGAGACTCTGCCCTGTCCTCCTCTTCCTCCACACAAACACTCATCTTCTGCACTTAAGATAAAATAATAGAAGAATCAGGAAAAACAGGTTTATTCAAAAGTCACACTGATTGAGAGAGCAGAGAGAACAGTACACACACACACACACACACACACACACACACACACACACAGTACTCTGTATAGTATATAGAGTATACAGTATAATATAAAACTCCTACTGGTCACTTTTCTTTAAACCTGTACTTGTTTTCTTGGGTTACAGTAGGTTTAATCTGTATTATTCAGTCAATCACAACTTTGTATCCACAGATGAAGCAAACTGTTGAATTAATTCTAAAATGTCTGTCCTCTACAGTCCACAGGAAGAAAACTGACTCAGAGACTTTAACAATAAATAATAATAATGTTGTATTAACCCTCACCCTGCCTCAGCCTTCAGTTTTCCTCCTTCTGCTCTGTCGACTCAAAATGGAGACTGAACCAACTGAACACTTTCACTTTCAGGGATTCCTCCCTCTTCTCATGAACCTGGATCACCTGCTCAGTGTTGCTCCTCCCCTCTTCATTTACAGGAAATCAGGTGAGTTCATCTGTGTGTGTGTGTGTGTGTGTGTGTGTGTGTGTGTGTGTGTGTGTGTGTGTGTGTGTTGCTCACAAAGATCAGCTGTTTAACATGATAAACGTCTCGTGGGTTTGACAGATGTAATTAAAATAAGTAGTTTGATATGTTTTAACACTAAAATGTATACGTATATATAATGTTATATAACACATTACAATCTAACAGCACCACTAACTCAACCTCTAAAATAAAGTTTAATCAACCTCTGTAAAACAGTTTCACTTTGTATGTGCTTCATTATACTGAAGCAGATTGGGGACATCTGCTGGCAAAAAGCAGCTCCAGCAGGAGCTACAGAACATGAACACTGGTGATAACAACTGATTTCTGAGGGGAAAAAGCTCCACAGGTTGACTTTATGAGTCTGTGCTGATCATCTAATGTGAAAACTAGCAGAGTCACACATAAAACTCTAACTCACTGATGTTTTCACTTCTTAAACTTTTAGATTTAAACGTTATACACGTGGAGCAAATTCACTGAATGTTTCACTTTGATTTGAAAACAAGGCTCCTGTGACATAAAGACAGTGAATGAAACAGATCTTCCATTGCAGAGTAAAGCATTCAGTTCACTCAGTGCAGGGTGTCATTTATTGTACAATGTTAAAGGAAAGTAGTGCATTGTAGAGGAAAATTATTACCATTTAGTAATTCTCTGTTAACTTGTGTATGAACCATACATTTCTGAGCTAAATCTTTGTATGTAACCACATTATGAAACAGGAAACTATAACTCTCTGTATTAATCTTTGTATGCAATCTTTGTTGGTTAAACCACAACTCTATGTGGTATACTGCTCTGTAAGGAAGCAGGCCTGGCTCCATTTCCGGCTGAACTATACCTGAACTCAAAGGCAAACCCCTAATACTGTCGATGACCTATTCCGAGTACAATAACCACATTATGTGCCAAGACTGAAATGTAGCCTAGCCTACACATAAAACTTAATTCCTACTTTGGTTTGAGCCCGCTCTTAGAAATGCATCTTTTACGACTTACCAATGTCTATGACCTAATCTGTTACTGTTGAAAAACGGAAGTAAATACGCTGTTTCTCTGCATTTACCATAATGCTGTGAATACTTGTACACTCGAAATTTAAGTGGGGCTGATTTGACCACGGAGATCGGACTCACGGCTTGATTGACCGCAGAATATGAAAAAACAGGCTTTTTTTCTGTTTCTGTTTTCTAGTGATTTTATTTATTTTATTTTGTTATTTGTTTTTTGATATCAGATTCATAAACGAATAAGGAAATAACAAACCGTTTTTAAATTTTTCGATTTTGGAATCTCAATTGAATATGAAAAGAACTAATGATACACAGATTCAGTGTTTCAGAAGGGTTTTATGTTGGTGTATAAAGTGGCTCCAGTCAACAGATCCTATTATAGTAGTTAACTTGTTGATAAGTTAAGTAGCCTTTAGTCTGAGAGCCACAGACTGAATCAGCTGCAGCTCCATCATCACCATCTTCTCCTGTTACTGAGGACCTCATCAGAACAGCCGACTGCAAACTGAGAAACTACAGTAAAGCTTTGATTGAATCCAGACTTTGTTCAGGTTTCATCTTGTTTCTGTTTCTCACAAGCAAATATTCATCTGTTATAAAATGAGAAAAAGCTGATGTTTGAGGTAGTTATTGATTTATTTATTTAAAAATCAGGAGATCAATAAGCAACCAACAGTTGAATCTTCTTCAGTCAGAAATAAAATTCTGGAAAAACCAAAGAAATAATTCAACAAATGTGCTTCATTTAAACCAACATGGAGATAATTTATATTTATAGAAGCTGGATTGTGGAGCTTTATATTAATCAGAAGTAAAATGTGATTTCAATATACAGATTTGTGTTTTTGAAGCAATAATATAAACTTTCACAATATGAGAAAACACAACAAATATATACATGCACATAATCTTATATTATTAACAATGACACGTAAGATTGTATCTTATTTTATATTTTGCTGATTAATTTTATGTCAATAGAATAATATAACAAAGTATTAAAATGTTCTAGTTTTAAATGTGTAACCAATGTTCACTGACTTCTCACCAAAATCCAGATATTTCAGTAACTTTAAGTAACTCTGTTTGATATTTTAATAACAATGGATCAAATATTAAAATGAAAATAGATCAATATCACCAGACTTTGCAGTTCTTTAGTTCATATTCCTGCAATAACACAATCTGTTGGGATATATTAGAAAAATAGACTCTTTTAAAAGTTAATAGATACATAACATTGTACTAATATTAATGATTCCAAAATATATTGTGGAAATTAACTGCAACTCTCCATCGTTCCACAAGGTGCAACAAAAGAAATCAATTGAGGTAAGTTTCAATCTACAGTTATGTTGACATTGTGTCTGACAGTGGAGCTGATCTCAGAGCAGTTCAGACTGCAGCACTGAGAGTCATCTCCACTGGTTGTGATTCCTCTGTCAGTCACTGCTGGATGAAGCTCTCCTCTCCACTCTACCTCCCAGTAACATGGCCCAGTCAGAGCTGATGCTGCTGCTTCCACCTCTCTGGATCATCAGGACACAGCTGATCCTCCAACACAACGACCTTCCTCACCACTCACACTCTGACAGAGATCACTTCCAGCTGATGAGAGAAGAAGACAGACAACATAAGTCATGAATCAGTGTTGACAGAGACTCTCTCCATCATCATATCCAGTATAAAGACCAGCAGGGACTTCAGTCCAGTTCAGACCAGAAGGTGAGCGGCTGTGTAGCGTAGCCTGCTTCCTTTCAGCTCTCATGTTAACGTATTGGAGTGAACTCACTGAGCTGAAGCTCACAGACCTGCAGACACTTTGGACATCAAGACTGTTGACTCTGCAGATTTCACTGAAGTACACAGTGGAAATAAAATGCTGAGAGTCCCTGAACGCATTATTACTGCAGAAACAGAGAGACATTCACTGCCCACTGTAATGATGGATTTACTGCTGTTTGGGTTCAAAGCTGATAAAAACCACAGTCTCAGTCACCTTTGAATGTTTTATCTGCTTTTGAAATATTACAGGGCAGATCTGTAAATATGGAGTCTGTTTAAAATAATAGTAAACATATTTGGACTAAACAAAAGACAAATGGACAAGACATGAACACAACAACAGTCATCTTCACATCAACTCAAACACATGATCACAACAAGCTTCTAGCTCATCTGATTGGCTGACTGTTCTCTCTCTCTATCTGTCTGTCTGTCCAACCCTGAAGTCTGTCACCATCCTCCTCTCACAGCTTCACTGAAGAAAGCAGCAAATACTGGATCTTTGCTTTGATACTAACTGTATTTAGTACAATACTGCTGAAACCAGCATGGACTGACTCCAACCCTCTACTGACCTCAGAGTCTCCAGTCTACAGTGTGGACTCTCCAGAAAACCACACAGCAGCTTCACTCCTGAATCCTGCAGCTTGTTGTTACCCAGGTTCAGCTCTCTCAGATGGGAGGGGTTGGACTTCAGACCTGAGACCAGATAATCACAGCTGATCTCTGACAAACTGCAGTCCCACAATCTGAATAAAGAATAAAAGATGTAAGTTTAGAAGATAATAGTCTTATGTCTGCACTTCACTGTCACCACAAATCTGCAAGCTAGTTCAGGCAGTCAACTCGAGCTGCGCTGCTATACACACATGACATGACCTTATTCCATAATCACTAACCAAGCGCACCCTTCCAATCTGGCAGTCTATTTAAGCTGCAAAATTTCCAAGCTCTCCCTCTGCTTTGTCAATGCCGCTGTTGCCTTGCAAGCTATTGCCGCCTGCTGCGCTGTAAGCCCCACCACCACCCGAACATCCACCTGTAGGCTCCGGCTAGGGATTAAGGTATTTGCGCATCACTCCCCAATATCTCTATGTAAACATATCTGCGGGGAGTGATGAGGTCGGAGCCTAGACGCCAAAATATAAATATGTTATACTGCTTTAATAAACATTTCTAACGTGAGTTGTCTGACTGAACTTTCACATCATATTAATCTCAGCACAGAAGGAAAAAATGGTGTCTGACCTCAGAGTCTCCAGTCTACAGTGTGGACTCTCCAGAAAACCACACAGCAGCTTCACTCCTGAATCCTGCAGCTTGTTGTTACTCAGCCACAGATCTCTCAGATGGGAGGGGTTGGACTTCAGAGCTGAGACCAGATAATCACAGCTGATCTCCAACAAACTGCAGTTCCTTAATCTGAATAAAGAATTAATGCTGTAAGTTTAGAAAACAATGTTCCTGCTTGAAGTCATTTAGTGTTTAATGATATTGAGATTTATATGGCAGGAAAAATACCTTAAGTACGATATAAAACATTACAGCTACTGAAAGAAAGAGGAGGCTGGGGTTTGCAATCACAGAAACATTATTATATCTCAGCACAGATGAGAGCATCAGCTCTCTGGGTTCGGAGAGCAGTGATAAAAGAACGTAAATTGAAAGAAGATATTAAAATCCTAAGTTGGTGTGCATATGATTCAGATCTCACACTAAATTAACTCAATGATAGATTCAAAGTTTGGATAAAGAAAGGTATAATATCTGTATGCAGCATTATACAGAAAGATGAAATGATGTGGTTTTAAAAATTAAGACATCATTTTTTTTTGGAAAAACAGGATTTCTAAAGATATCTCCAATTAAGACATTACTATAGACAAAAAGAAAAATACCAGAGAAGCCAGTTAACCCTTTATGCAACTTCTCATAAATGCATATAAGTCAGATATTAAAAGAGGGGTCATCTCTCAACTGTATAAAAGCCTCCACAATCTAAAAGCTAATTCTAAAAAATATATAAAGGATAGATGGGAGAAGAAAGGAGACCTGACAATAACAATAATATTTGCATATTTCAGTGGAAGAGTACAAAATCTCATGCTTGGAAAGAATTGATGCTTGAAGAAGAAAACAGACTTTATCATTAAAATACTCACTGTGGATCAGTATAATATCCGCCTTATGTCACCACAACTTTCACATCATATTACTCTCAGCACAGAAGGAAAAAATGGGGTCTGACCTCAGAGTCTCCAGTCTACAGTGTGGACTCTCCAGAAAACCACACAGCAGCTTCACTCCTGAATCCTGCAGCTTGTTGTCAGTCAGCTCCAGATCTCTCAGATGGGAGGGGTTGGACTTCAGAGCTGAGCCCAGATAATCACAGCTGATCTCTAACAACCTGCAGTTCCTCAATCTGAATAAAGAATAAATGATGAAGATAAAAATCCATTTATAATCCAATCAGATGTGTTCAGGTTTTTCTTCTGAAATATTTGTATTATTTTACACCAGTACTGTGGACAATAAACAGGGACATATCTAGAATATCAGAATGAACTGGTCCCTGATTTGACCGACAGAACACATAAACCAGATCAAGAACACAAACCCACCTTCACTTCCTTCAACTCAATCCCACATCCATTAACCCCGCCCACCCACATTCCCACATTGCCCACACAACCATAAAATAACATTAAGTTAAAAAAGAAAATGTACATTCATCAAGTTGGATGTTGTTCAGGATCTCCTTGAACCAGCTAATGTGTGATGGGGGAAGAGCATGCTTCCATCTGAATACAATGAGGCGTTTACTGTCCTTCACTGATTAGGAAAGTAAAGAAAATCATAAACTGACTTCTTTTTATTGCTTGATATGTAAAACGTGACGCAGCAGCTTTTAGGTGTAGTACCTCTTTCCCAGCGATTGTTTCACCCAAAAGGGGGCGTAGTCGTTCTGAAGACAAGAAAGTGACCTATGGTTGCTTTCATCCATACTTCAAACACCTGCAACTGGAAATATTTTTCACACAGTGTCTCTGTACAGTGTCTGAGAGAGAGAGAGGCTTTATGTACAAGTTCCTGTAAAATACTGTGTTCTGAAGGTTATGTGTAAAAAGACATTATTTCTAAAAATGTGTTGAACTTCTATTAATTTATTTTATACATATATGTGTTTCATATGTAACAAAACACAGTGGCGTAAGTACCGCTGGTGCAGCCAGTGCCCAGCGGCTTACAAGGGCCCATAAAGGACAGCGACACTTGCCTAGTGTCTGTGGGTGGGCCCTTTTGCACCTTCACATACCGCGTTCAGCAGTAGCATGGCACAAGAATGACTCAGTGGATTGGCTTTACTCTCAATAGAGAACAGCAGAGTGATCAGCAGTGTTGTTCATGACTTCGCTGAGCGAAAGGCCTGAAGGATGAACTTCTGGTGGGTGAGTACAGGTGTCTCTTTGTTATGGAGTGGGATCAGGGATTTAAATTACCTCTGTAATCTGTGATGAGTAATTGTGTGATCAGATGCCGTCATCCATTAATTCATAGTAGGCCTATAATGAGTTGCTGTGACATTTGTTCTGTGGTTATTGATAATAAGCTATTTTGCGTTGAAATATTACTGTAGGCTGGCTAAAACTATTTCAGTTGTTTGACAGTTGGAGACAGCCGGCTGTGGTGGTTTGAGCTGTTAGATTTGCTTTGATAGATTTGGAGCTTTGTCTGCTGTCTGTGGTGCTGATCACAGGCTGCAGGTTTGCTATAGTGTGTATGTTCTGTTATGACACAGTTGGTGTGTCTCCTTGTTGTCACTTCGGAGAACTGCAGCATGTTAGTAGTGAGAAGACACACTTGACCAGTAAGCAGGGAGACAGTGAGCCTAGTGGAGAGCAGTTACTTTACCTGAGCTGATCCAGCAACATCTGTATACATCCCATGCCTTTGGTTGCATTGTTGGTACGTATTGATTTGTTTTATTGTTATCTATAATTGTGGATGATTATTTTTGGGTAAGATTACGTTTTGTGAAGTTTATGTGTAACGGATTATGGATGACTACATTGCTCCTAGGCCTTTAAAGTTTATACGCTAAAATACAAACAGATAATTGATGTGTTAAAATATTTACATTTGTTGTTAAATAAGAATAAATACATGTAAAGCTTGTAAGCAGTACATGTTTAGACTTTTTGGGGCAGGGGATGGGGGGCACAGGAACAATATTTGCACCGGGCCGATCACAAATGTGCTACGTTTCTTCAAAAACTATGAATGCTGATACAATTTTGCAACATATTGTAAAATTATTCCTCCAGTTTTCTTACCAACATGAATCCAGTACAGAGTCAATTCTGAGTCAAACTGCAAACTGACAAACTTTAAAAAACAGATGTTGTGATTTGTGCTCAGACAAACTCAGAAAACAAGAGAACTGAAGGAAACTTAAACCTTCTGTTACGCATTTAAATTTTGTAGATATAAACTGTATAAGAGCAAAATACATGAACTGACTTCAGAGTCTCCAGTCTACAGTTTTTACTCTCCAGTCCAGCACACAACAGCTTCACTCCTGAATCCTGCAGGTCGTTGCTATTCAGGTTCAGATCTCTCAGATGGGAGGGGTTGGACTTCAGAGCTGAGGCCACAACTTCACAATGAGTCTCTGAGAGTCCACATGAGGAAAGTCTGTGATGACACAGAATATAAATTTAAGTATAATAAAATCTGACATTTTATTATGAAATACTCTTTGCATCTTGCATCACAAAGCACATTAACATAAGCGGCTGTAGCTCAGCTGGTCAGTCATTGATCACAAGGTCTGTGGTTTGAAACTTGAGCTCCTCCTGTCCACAAGTGCTATGATTTGTGTTTCTTATTTATTTCAACATGATGTTCAATGAGCTGTATAATCACTATAGGTTTTAACTGCACTTCCAAAAAACAAACAATGTAAATTACACATGAAGGGTTCAGGTCTACAGCACAAAGGGTCCTTTGATCTGACACTGTGACTGTGACCCCCCCCCACACACACACACACACACACACTCACACACTCACACACTATATACATTTGCTACACTTCCATCCCCCACATACCTTTAATTTATTGATGCTAACGTCTGCATCTGTTTTATTGTGTAAAATAATATCAATAAACAAGTTTAATACTAGTTTAAGAAAACTTTTATAGTGTTGAAGTTTTATATTTTTCATGAGTGTAAAGTGTGTATCTTTACTTTAATACTGATGGCTTCAACTTTACATTGATTTATAATATTAATCTGGACTTACTGAGCCTTTCTGCAGTTCCTCACAGCTGGAATCAGTCTCTGCCGTCCCTCCACTGATGTGTTGTACTTCTGCAGGTCCAACTCATCCAGAACCTCCTCTGACATCTGCAGCATGTAGGCCAGAGCTGAGCAGTGGATCTCAGAGAGTTCCTTCTTTGATCTGTTCTCTGACTTCAGGAACTCTTGGATCTCCTGATGGACTGAGTGGTCGTTCATCTCCATCAGACAGTGGAAGATGTTGATGCTTCTGTCAGGAGAGATATTATACACGTTCATCTTCTTCAGATTGTTGATGGCCCTCTGGGTTATTTCTGGACTGTTGTCTGTCTGACCCAGCAGGCCTCCTAAGAGTCTCTGGTTGGACTCCAGAGAGAGGCCATGAAGGAAGCGAACAAACAGGTCCAGGTGTCCATTTTTACTTTTGAGGTACCTCTCCATTGTAT